CCCCAAAACCCCAAAACCCCAAAACCCCAAAACCCCAAACTCCTCTTCTCCTATTGAAAAATATGACCTTAATAAAATTTACCTTAGTAAAATCCGCAATAAACAAAGTAAAGAATCCCCATTGACCCATTCAACCCCTCTTTCTTTCTCCATCCCCCAGACTATGCGTTAAGAGGGGTTTTAGAAGGAAGATGTGACTTTTTGTATAGGAAATATGGAAGTTATGGCACGGATTCAGCAGGCTTTGGTTGGGAAAGACAAGGAATTTGGGGTTAGAGATGTAAGTGGTGGAAGGAGGATAGGGTGGGTAATTCGATGTTTTGCGATTTTGTAGGGGTTGTGATCATGTTGTATAGGTGAAATATGAAGTATCAACTTACGCATGAAAATATCGCTGCCTCTTGATCAAAGAGGACGAAGAGTAAATAAATCTTTCCTCCATTTCTTTTGGTCATTATATATTGATAAGAATTAACTAGTGACTTTCTTGTTAAAATTGTTAAGAAATCCGCCTAAAATTTTGAGGTCTGACCCCTATTCCATATTCTTCAATTTTGGTCAGAAATGAATACTATAAAATCCCTTGGAACAGAACATTAGAACTAATAAGATAGAATCGAAAAACGAAGGTTTTTTCAAAAGTTATTATTTCACCGCGAATTTTTTTAAAAAGACGTCCTCCATATTTTCCATTAAAGTTATCTATTTTTAATTTATAAAATAACTTAGCTGTCACGAATTTATGCGCCAATCGATGCTTCGTGGACTTCTCCTTCAGTCAGCAGATTTCTCTCCGAATCATAATATATAGAACCAAGAATGAGAGAACAGAGGCAAGGGTAAGAATAGGTTAGTAAACAAATTGACCCTTTGGTATTTTTTCTTTTTGAATTTTTCTAAATTTATATGAAAATTTCTTAATTATCACGATGAATAGAAGGGATAAGGACATCTGAAACATTATCATAGGGGGATGAGATGGGAAGATTAGGAGTTGGGTTGACTAGAAAAGAAGCAACTATGAAAAATCTTAATAAAAGAGGTAAGTAATTATTTGCAGTTTCAATTATCTAATTATTTTGCCTAATATCAGAAACGTTTGAACTGAATGAGAGGGTAATAGAAAATCCAAAATTCAAATCTTAAAAAATTTATGAAAACTTCTTTATGCAAATGTTAAGCATTTAGTAAAAGGGAGATTGTTAATTATAGTTAATGGTCTTGCAAAATTATGGTTTCTTATTTATACTTAATAGAGCTCTATCTTCACATGCAATTCGTTGACGAAGATCACATCACTCTGACCTTAATTCAAACAAAATAAGCTTCCGAAAATGCATATATCAAGGGTAGAACACGCAGAATTATGAAAATACCTTGCTAAACTCGGTAAATCGTCCATTGGGATCAGCTATTCTTTATTCCCTTTAAAACCTATCAGCAAAGTGAAATCCAGAGTTATAGGCTGAACGTATAAATTGCATTGCCATTTCTTGACATCTTTGACTCTGCCAAGTTCTAATCGCAACCTTCTTGAAAAATACAAGACCTTTGAAGCATTTCCTCCCTACCTAGACGATCTTCTTAGCGACAAATTAACTCTTATTGACAATGCAATTCGAGGTATTGAGCTCTTCTTAGAACAACCCTGAGATGACGATTTCTTTTCACCGGAGGTAGTCGCAGAATTCGCAGCTTAATCCACCCCACTCACAACATCAGGCCCTTAAAACTTAGCGCTAAGTTACTAAAACCTATCTTCTAATCCCTAAAGGACCTATAAGATCCCAGTACCACCCGATCAGTTGCTAAACTCTGAGTTTCAACCTTCTTCCCACTCATCGGGGTTTTGGGGTTTTGGGGTTTTGGGGTTTTGGGG